TTAGATATTAAATTATGATTTTGTGTGATTATTAGCTTTAAAATAAAGAAATGCATTTTGAAATTTTAAAGAAATAATTTTTTACCTGTTTTCAAATATTAAATTTTTGTATGATTGATGTGACATCTTTGACTCGTATATGGTTACGTATATGGGTTAAGAGTGTTACAATTTTTGGTATCAGAACTACAAGTTTAGCCGATTCTCAACCTAAACTAAAGAGAAAACGTGTTAAAAGCATATACATGCCACTAGGATGTATGAATTATTGATCTGGTGTGATTAAATGATTCGATGAATAAGGCAGAATTTTTTAGGTGATATAGTATATGAATAAATTCGATAGTGTAATGATATAGTGAGAAATGTCAGTGTTAGTGATATTATTTGATATTTCAAAAAGAAAGATCGGAATCGTTCTTAATTTAAATAAACTAGAGGAAACTCTAATTTACTATTCCATAAAGGTTAGTGTTGTACAAAATTTGTTTCATGCTGCAAAAAAAAAAATTTGTTCTGCTAACTGGTGAAAAGTAAATTGAGACGAGATCACAGTTCACACAATTGGAAAACAAGGATATCAATTTAGAGAAATGTTCGATTAGAATTGAGTTCAGAATATTGAGTGGCAATTAAACGTTATGGGGCCAAAAAGGCAAGGATAAGTAACGTATAAGTCGCTATCGAGGATTTGGAATAATTTCGGTTACAAATTATATATTTTTGTTGTTAGGCTCTAATAGATGGTTGTTTAAAGTTAACGTTTCAGAAAGGCTCGAAAAGATTTCGAGATTATGACGATTGAGAAAGAGTGTCGAGAAAAGGGAAGATTTTATGGGAAACAATCATGATCGTTAAAACGATTAATCTCCACGATTAGAATGTGGAAAACAAATCATATCGATAAAGATCGCTTAATAAGGATTGACCATTATAATAGACATATTATGGAAAATGATTTCGAATTTGTTTTTCAATCTAAAAATCTTATAAATATGATGTTCAAAATAAACATTACATTTGTAAAAACAAAGCAGATGATGGAAAAAAATTCGAGTTATAATCGATGGTTTTAAATTTATTGCAAATTTGTTAGTTTCAATAAAAAAAAATCTAATATAATTTTTCGAAGAGAGGTAATATAAATTTGTTAGTTTATTACTCTCGACGTTTACTCAATAATTAAAGGGTTTTTGTTGAAACTTAAAGCTGGAAATGAGTGCTGCTTAGTGATCTAACGAGTGGCCATAACACAATTAATCCCCATTATCTCGTAGCTACTTGTACCTTAATAACACATGTAAATCAGCGGGACCAACAATAATCTGGATATCTCGTTGAGTGTAAATTTAATATCAAAAGAATTGAATACAAAATTAATTACTTAAAACTCAAAAAATTGAAAGTTTTTATTTATTTATTATTCAAGTAATCTCTTTAAGAATTGTAGTAAGCAGTTTTTTTCGTAAATTAAAAATATTATATATCCTAAACCACTTACCTGCTTTGGTAATTTACCTACTAAATATGACTTTTTGGATTATTTGTCCCTTCGATGGTTTGATCTCGGCTTGGACACACAGTAGTGAAATTTAATACAAACATTATCCATTTAATAAAATTTAAAAATAATATAATGAGCACGGTGAATTTGAGGTCAAAGTTACGTCATCAGTCTCCCTATTGTGTATAAAACTAGATTCCTCTTTAAAAAAAGAACTAGAACTAAGTCTCATTATTGTGCATAAAACTAGAATTAATTCATGTATTTTAATTTGTTTCAATTTTAGTTTTTTTGTTTTTTTTTATTTTAAAATTTTAATTCTAACTCAAATAATATAAATACAATATGATTAAAATATAAATATTTAAAATTATCAATTTGAAAGATAATACTTAATTTTTTTTTTGGTAATCCAAGAATCTAAAACTAGCTTAAGCAATTCAAAGGCCTAGGCCTGAAGCATCCTCTTAGAGTCTTGAGATAGCATCCCAGGAGGCTTTGAGTAGATCTTCCCTTCAAAATCATCCATTAGAATCGTCTTTGTCAAAGTATTGATAAATTTCCAAAAGAATTATCATTTAGGATCTTTTTACCTATATCAAGCTTGAATTTTAGCATCATTAAGATCATATTAAGATCATTGTAGGCAACGGTGTATTCGCTGCACTCGACGATCCTGGGCAACACCATCTTGGAAACTCTTCAGTGCCTTGGCTTGTCGCGGTTCTCCCATACGAACTGCTTGCCTTGGCTTTTGCCTCATGTAACTTCCCGATCTTTCACGCCATAGTTCACATCAACTTGGTTGCTTTTCGACGCCTTCGCTTGCTCATGTCCCCCCATAAGGACTCAGCCTCCCATAATGGCTGTGCTTGCTTCGGCTCTTGCCGCCAAGTGATGAAATGGGCTAACACGCCCACAAGTGCATCTCTTCCGTAGGAACTCTTTCCTACAAGTCTTGATTTGCCTCGATTTGGACCTCCTTGTCCCTTGCGGCAAAGTCTTGGATCCCATCCAAACTTTGTTCCATCCGCGTTAAGAGTTAGGTCTTGCCCGACCTACACTCACTTAAAATTGCAAATCAAGCTCACAAGAACACAAGAATAGTGTTGAGATGTACCTTCCCCTCTGATTAGTTGGCATTTACTCAAGATTTTTGCGTCAGCCCTTCTTGCTCAATGAAGTCTGACACTCCCCGCATTGAACCCTTGTCATTGGAGTTCTTTGCGCGCCTAGGCCTATCTAGGCCATGGCTCCCTCTATGACAAAAAAGATAAATTACTTATTAAGTCACCCATTTATTATTTAGTTACTATTTTGATCACTCAATTATTATTTATTTTAAATCACACTTAATGTTATATTTTGGTTATGTTTTGGTGTCTCATCTTTAAAAAATTAGCATTGATGTTGATGTATCATCATAAGATAATATCATGTTATGACTGAAAAATAATTAAAAAAAAGGTCATGTTAGCATCATTGTTATTTTGTAACGGTAAGTTATCAATATATATATATATATATTCTCTTGGATAAAAAAATTATTATGTTTATATTGGTAAGCCTATAAAAAATTTGGATTCGCCACTGATTTTCAGTTTATTTTATCATATTTTGCATTATTTGCATCATGGGAGTTAGTTGGTGGAATTTGGGTTGATTTTCATATTTTATGTTGAAATCTGGTATGTTGATGCTATGGAATTGCTCCATGTTGTAGGTGATGTTGTGTTGCGATGTTGCGTCGAATCATTAAGTAGAATTGCCAAAAACTACTGAATCACCAGACGGTTATAGAACATTCTAGAATAGGGATAGTTGGTGCGATAGATGTAAAAAGGCCTAAAAAATTAGAAAACGTTGATTTTTTCTATTGGATGAAAGATTGACTTTGTTAGCCTATAAAAGGGAGTGAAGATCACACATTTCACATCTTTTTCTTCTTCATCATCTAATTTGTTTTCCACAAACCTACCTTCCGAGAGCCATGGTCCCCTAAATTCGTCGCTAGGACATACAATAGTAGTTGGGGGAGCAACATCATGTAGCAATGATGATCATCGTGAAATTCAACTTCTATTTTCATTTCTTGTTTTGAAAGAGTGAAGTGACAATTATAAAGTTTGTATATGTTCTTATTTTAGGATGTTATTTGGATTTGAACACAACATGTTTGATTAAATGTTTCTAATTATGTTTATGCTTAAACAATGATTTTATGTGTTGTAGCTTTACTGAGATAATTTTATAAATGAAGTTATCTTTAATATATGTGATTTTGATGATTTTTAGAGATGAAAGTTATTAATATTGCATGCTACTTTCTTACAACTTTGGTATTTTCAAAAGTAGAGTTAGCATATAGAAATGTGTGCTATCAATAGTTGATGCTTTGTTAACTATTTGATTACTAGAATTGGTGAAAATTGATTCTAGTTGATTAAGTATTGTTAATCATTGCACATCGTATGATAGCATTGTTACGTCATTATTATAACGAGAACTGCCAAATGACATTTGCATTTGTTAAGCCATTGATATGTTTGCTCTCCTGAATGTTACTGCACTACATGGCTTCTTCATTCTGATTTTAATCTTTTATTGCCTTGTTTTTATTTTTCTCGTTTCAACATACATATCTATTTTACATCTATTATCTCTTTTATATATATCACAACAATTCTAGTGCAACATTTGCTCTCTGTGGGTTCGATATCAAATACACTTAGTGTATCAACTTTACTACATGATATACAACACGAGCACTTACGTTAAATGTTGTAGTAACATTCGTAGCATCAAGTTTTTTACGTTGTTGTGGGGGAGCAATGGTAATGTATTAGAGTTTTTTTTTCTTTTTAACTTTTACTAACTTTGTTTATTTTCAGTTTATAGATACTTTCTTCTTAACTTAGTGTTGCTGGTGCATGACCCACAACAATAATTAAGACTTAGAGCCTTTCGGTTTCGAGATAGAACGAAGACTTCATAGACCCAATAGACAAGAAAACTATAATCAAACAAACATGAACGTTGGTGTTGATAACAATGTTTTACCATCATTGCAAAATGGTGATGATGACTTACCTACTAAAAATTGAGTACATCTGTCGAATTTCTACAACATTGATGACTGTAACAGGCTATCCGTGAGAATGTTGTGCCAACATTAGACAATCTAAATCATGGCATCATAAGACCAGTCATCCATGTTGTCCACTTTGAGTTGAAGATCGTATTGTTCCAAATATTGCAGTCAACGAGGTAGTATAGTGGTCCATTTAATGAAGATCCTAGAGCACACCTTAGAGCATTCATAGAAACGTATGATTATTTTATACATGAGGAAGCCTTGAAGTTGAAGTTGTTTCCTTACTCTCTTTTTAAAAAAAGCTAAAGTATGGCTCAATTAGCTGCCACCTAATGATATAACATCATGCAATGAGCTTGCCTAAAAATTTTGTTGCGTTACAACCCTCCCAACATTAATGCTAAATTAAGGAATGATCTTATATCATTCAAGAAAATAGATGAGAGAATCTATATGAAGCTTGGGAGCGTTTCAAATATTTGTTGCGCAAATGCCCAATGCATGGTTTCCAGCATTTGACACAAATAGAGGTGTTTTACAATGAATTGAATATGCAAACAAAAAATGTTTGTTAATGTTTCTTCCAATGAAACATTATTGGATAAGACCTACAATAAAGACTACGACATCTTGGAGATGATATTCAACAATGACTATAAATATCCCAATACGAGGATTATGTCAGGTAGATGCAATGTTGCAGCATTGGACAATGATGCTATCAACAAACTAACCTCACAAGTTATAACATTGGTTGAAATAATGAAAAATATGTAAAAGTATAGGGGTATGTATGAGGTAAAGTTACAATTATTCTCTGTTGTGTTTACTGTGGAGAAAATCATAATTTCGAGGAATGTCACATGGTGATATAACATTTAGGAATGAGCTTTCCCAAAATTTTTGCTACGTTTCAACCCTCCCAACATGAATGCTAAATTACTGAATGATCTCACATCATTCAAGCAAATGGAGGATGAGAACCTATATGAAGCTTGGGAGCATAGTCTATAATGGCGATCATAGTCTCTAATGGCGATCATAGCCTTTTTAGGATTGTTGTAGTCTTTTTAAGACTGTTGGGGTCGTTATCGTTTCCTCTTCTAACATGGGTTCAACATGGTTAGTATTTGGGGGTTCTGTAGGTGGTGAGAGAGGACACCACTAGTGGGACAAGGTTTTGAGCGTTCTCTACGTTTTGCATATTTTTCATCTACACTATATAATTTGTAACACCCAAAAATTGGGTTAAATTGATATGTTTACAAATTTATGAATCTTTTTTACGAATTCTTTTAATTTCTAAGACCTAGGTTATAATTAACCTATAAAGCTAAGGTAAATATACCTAAACACCTTATGTTAAATTTCCAATTTTTCTAATTTGAGAAAAAATCGTTGCTCATACTTTTTTCTCTCTCAATTTCTCTTTATTCACAATACATTTTTAGTTTTTTTTGTTGATTTATTGATGTTCAAGCTGTTGTAATTCTCACCTCCTACATCTTGTTATTCATTGTGTCATTCTCGTTCGTCTGGTATCCTTGGGTTGTCATTTGTTGGTAAATGGTAAAGGTTTAAATTTTTTTGTTTCGTTAAAAACCCTGATTTTGACGTTATTTTTTGCAAACCGACCACGATATGTTATTCCCTATGCATCAAAATATAATTCTAGAAATTTTCATCTTAAACCAGTCGCCAAAGGACCCTCCACGTGCCCCCACGTGTCCTTATACGTGTATGAGAGTGATTTTGTTGGTTCAACCTTGAATCGGTCTGACTGAACTGATTTGAACTGGCTAACCGAATCGACCTTGAACTGGTTAACCCATTGACCTAACTCGTTGAGTTTATCCCGACCCATTGACTGTTAACCATTGACCATTGAATTTGACCCATTGAGTTTGTTCGTTTTGACAAAATTTGATCCGAAATCCCTATTTTACGTCATTTATCGCTTAAAGTGTTAATTATATTAAGTAATTTGTGAGATTTTGGACTCACTTTTTGGTGTTATTTTATAAAGATGTTTTTGCATCTCCGTATCTCTCTTCGGTAGATCATGACCATTCTTGCTCAGTTCAGTTTGATTCCACATGTTTGTCTTGAGATACGCGTAAGTATTAATTAGTGGATTAAAGTCTATTTTTGCTTAGATGTATGATTTGGTAATCACTTAGTATTATGTTATTATTAGGTCTCTAGTCCGCAAGACCTAATACTACCGATCGTGGGAAGCGTAAGGCTTATTTAGTATCGATTAGCTGCTATAGATGTATCCTCTTGACATGCTCTATACATTTAATATGTTATGCTATTATGTTGTGTGTTGCTAACTATAAGCATATTTTTAAACTTAATATATATATTTGTGTTATGTCCAACTTTTGAATAATGTTGCATCACATTTAGTATATATATCGATGTATTTCTTATTCTACATAGGATTAAATCCCCATCCTGATTCTGCATGAAATTATATCCATATCTCGTTTCCATTTGGGATTCTCATCGGAGGGCTACATCCCCACTCTTATTTCTGTTTCTGACGAGAATTCTCTTCGAAGAAAACGTCCCCATCATGTTATCTACGACAAAAGGTAAATTTGTATGAATTGTTTGTTATAACCTCCCGATAATGATCAATGAGTTTACTATTGTCTGATTTTAAATTACATATTTATGACATGTATGATTTATTTATGATATGTTGTCAATATATGTTTTACTGTATAGGAAACACTGGGCTTAATAGCTCACCTTCTAGTTTGTCTTTTCATATTCCTTTAACCATTAGGACAACAATCAATACTTGAAGGATCATTTAGTTGATAGTTTCCTCTACTGACATCTTACGAATATTTTCAGTTTTATGTTATTCGTTTTCTATAATTTTCTATTTAATTATGAGATTTTTGGATATTAAATTATTTTATCTGCTTTGGACTTTAACTCGTATTATAATATCTTCTGTTTATGAATTGCTTTGAACTTTAACTTGTATTATAGTATCTATTATGTACTCTTACTATTATTTATGAATTTATTCTGATTTTTGGACGATGCATGGTTTAATATGAAAGTTTCATAATTTCTGTTAAATCGAATTATTGTTATGGTCTCCAAGATTCAGTCGTAACGTCTATGCTAGGTCTAGGTCTAGAAGATTACATATCTTTTGGAAAAAAAGTAAATCTATAATTAATATAATTAATCTAATTATAAATTATTATTATATCAATTATTTTGAGTGAGTCGTTTAAAAGATCAATTTAATAAATTGAATTCAACTTTGATCCTATAGTTTATAAATTTTAGGGTGTATTAATTCATCTAGTTACCTCAGTCGTTAAAAGAGGTATTGTTCTCCCTAAAGGTTATGAGTTCGAGCAATTGTGTCTGTAGGAATTAGAGTATTCTAAAAAATTAGAGTCTAACAATTTAGAGAGTAATAACATAATTTACTTAAATATAATTTACGATTAGTTGGTCATGATCTAAATTTTAAACTTTAAAAAATAATGACTGAAAACGATCCTATTAAAGTACACAATACTCTTCTTTCCATTAGTTTATCTTTTAATTTTATGACATAAATTGTAAATAATTTTTTATAAAATTTTTGATTTCGAAGTTATAAAAACTTCATCAAAATTAATTGAATCAATAGAGAAAGTTTGTTCGAACTCCCTAAATTCACCATCAAAAGCGTCCAATGACCTAAAAAAGTTTATCAACAAAGTTAATTTCGATAAACTCATCAATCGTAAGCTCAATTACATCAACAAAATTAACACTTTGGATATTTTCAGGATACCATATCGCTTTATAAACATTAAACTTAACGATTTCACCATCGAACTCTATTGTGAGAATACAGATTCTTACGTCAATTTTTGTATTGACAGTGCTAAGGAAAAGTTGCCCAAGGAGAATCTCAGATGAAGTATTTGAGCGATCATTTTCCATGTCAATGATATAAAAATACCCAAAAAATAAGAGAAAATAACCTCAGTGACCAAAAATCCCATATAATATACGATTTTAACCAACTTTTTCTGGATTTGCCAAAATGACCAACAAAATCGCAATGCGATCGCTAATTCGCAACGCGATCTCCATTATCGCAAATTCGCGTTGCATTTTCGCAATGCGATAGTTGAAAATCGCGTTGCGATGGTCTACAGTGTCGTTGCAATTTTCCCAATTCGCAATGCGAATAAGTAAATCGCAACGCGAATTGGGAAAATCGCAATGCGATACTGACTATCGCAATGCGATAATACAAAATCGCAACGAGATACTTACTTTCGCAACGCGATACTGACTTTTGCAACGCGATTCTGACTTTCGCAACGCGATAATACATAATCGCAATTCGATTTTCAAAGCGCCATTAGTATCCTGGCCAAGTATTTTATTTTTAAATTCCAAACACGAATATTAATATATTGGAACACTGAACCGTCCATAGTATATCCCGTAATCGCAACTCATAACCTAAAACCTAAAATCATAACTCAGTCCCATCTCCATCTCTCACTCTCTCACCCATCTCCGACGAAATCTGTCCCCATCTCCGGCGAAATCCATCTATCTCCATCTCTCAGAGCCACCCTCACAATCAGAAATGGAAAATCAACCAAATCAACCAACAAGGGTTAGTTTTTTTAATTATTTTCTTTTTGAATTTTTTGCATTATTATTAGGTTTTTCATATTGAAATTGATGATAAGTTTACTGGTAATTTCAATAATAGATTAACCATTTCACTTAGATTGCTTATTAAATCAACCGAGAATCGCAACGCGAAATGCAAATCGCAACGCGATTTTAGTTTCGCGTTGCGATTCTCTCGTTGCGATAGTCAAATTCGCGTTGCGATAGTCATTTTCGTGTTGCGATTTTCATTTTCAGAAACTATTCTTCTTCTGCAAATTGAAACTTGAATGAGTTGCATTACTTCAACCAAAAAACAAAGACAAATACGAAATTCACAGTGTTGTAAATTTAAGTTTGAAGAATAAACTACTACTCTTTATGTTTATTATTGTTTTTGGTATATCTTCACAGTGTAGTTTTTGGTATATCTAATTTAGTATGTTTATTGTTTTTGTAGAACTTTTATTCGGCTCAATTGACCTTGAGAAATAAAGTCAGCCTGGCCAAAACAATTGCGTCGAAGTTTTCACCTGCACAAAGAAAAATGTTTGAGGATACATGCTTCGGGCCATGGCTGAAAGTACAACATCCCGGTGGAGATGCGATGTTGACACACTTGTTTCTTCAAACCATGACTAGCGATCTACCAGAGACTATACAACGTCGTGATGAAGAGATATGGTTTGATTTTCCACCGGCGTATACGTGTTTTGGGCGAGAGGAGTTTTGCTTAATCACCGGTCTACGCTTCGGACACGATGATGTAGGTCGGTACACTAGACACATTACCCGCCCATCATGGCTATCCCGGGTTTTTCCTGAGCTGGAGAGGCCGAGTCTACACGT